GTAACTCAAAAGAGGTGGAACTTGTAAAAAAAAAAAACTGTTAAGTGTCTTATTCTTATCCTATTGTTACCTTCAAATATATTCTGTAGGAACTACTAACTCTACCCCTTTGACAACATTCTTAGATAAATTCCATAGCTCTGTGGCCATTTTTAGGTATTACAAGGGTCTCATTTCTCTCATGCCCCCATATAAGAACTGACTTGTAGAAAAGTGTCCTACTAAGGGGAGAGAGGAAAAATCCCTAAACCCTTTCCATCTTCTGTATTCTTCTGCACATGGAGTGAAGGAGTAGAGGAAGAGAGGCAAAACCCCTGTACTACCATGACCTATATAATTTTTTCTTGACTGATACTGACTTCCATGCCATCCATTATGGCAGGACTCTAAAAGCCGGCTTAATTATGGGGTGCAATTGTGGGTTCATACTGACTTCTGAACTGATCAATTCCCAGAAAGTTTGATGCTCCTTACCGACTTTAGTTCCGTCTAGTAGGACCTTCTAGTAGGACCTCACAGCAGGCAGCTGTTATGGACAGAGTCCCATCAACACTGCTCTAGAATGTCACGTTTCATGGAATGGGAAATTCTCATTTTCAGATGTTATAATTGAAGCTATTCCTCCGAGGCTTCCTCTCTGGGAATTTGGTCCCTAGTCTTAAGTGAAGAATCTAATTCTTTGTTCCTTTCTTCCCTCACCATTTTGGGGTACATGCTCCATTCTGATGCGACTGAACTAAGAAAACATCCAATTAGGAAGGAGACACCAGCACACTTTCTTAGAAACATCCTCAACACTAGCAAGATCCTCTTAGGGAATTCTCATTAGACTTGGAAAGACCCAACTATTGCTGTTTCTTCCAATCATGGATTGCAAGAATAAATATTGTTAAAATGTCTATGATACCTAGAGCAATCTACACATTCAATGCAATCCCTATCAAAATACCATCAACTTTTTTCACAGAGCTGGAACAAATAATCCTAAATTTGTATGGTACCAGAAAAGACCCCCAATAGCCAAAGGAATGTTGAACAAGAAAACCAAAGCTGGTGGCATCACAATTCCAGACTTCAAGCTCTATTACAAAGCTGTATGGTACTGGCACAAAAACAGACACATAGATCAATGGAACAGAATAGAGAGCCCAGAAATGGACCCTCAACTCTATGGTCAACTAATCTTCGATAAAGCAGAAATGAATATCCAATGGAAAAAAAGACAGTTTCTTCAACAAATTGTATTGGGAATATTGGACAGCCACATGCAGAAGAATGAAACTGGATCATTTCCTTACACCATACACAAAAATGGACTCAAAAGGGATGAAAGACCTACATGTGAGACAGGAATCCATCAAAATCCTAGAGGAGAACACAGACAGCAACCTCTTCGACCACAGCTACAGCAACTGCTTCAAGATAAAAAGCTTTTGCACAGCAAAGGAAAGTCAACAAAACCAAAAGACAACCGGCAGAATGGGAGAAGATACTTGCAAATGACATATCAGATAAAGGGCTAGTATCCAAAACCTATAAAGAACTTATCAAACTCAACACCCAAAGAACAAATAATCCAATCAAGAAATGGGCAGAAGACATAAACAGACATTTTTCCAAAGAAGACATCCAAATGGCCAACAGACACATGAAAAAGTGCTCAACATCGCTTGGCATCAGGGAAATACAAATCAAAACTTCAATGAGATACCACCTCACACCAGTCAGAATGGCTAAAATGAACAAGTCAGGAAACAACAGATGTTGGCGAGGATGCGGAGAAAGGGGAGCCCTCTTACCCTGTTGGTGGGAATGCAAGCTGGTGTAGCCACTCTGGAAAACAGTATGGAGGTGCCTCAAAAAGTTGAAAACAGAGCCACCCTACGACCCAGCAATTGCACTACTGGGTATTTACCCAAAAGATACAAATGTAGTGATCCAAAGGGGCACCTGTCCCCAATGTTTATAGCAGCAATGTCCACAATAGCTAAACTATGGAAAGAGCTGAGATGCCCATTGACAGATGAATGGATAAAGAAGAGGTGGTATATATATATATACACAATGGAATCCATACACAATGGAATATTATACAACCATCAAAAAATGAAATCTTGCCATTTGCAACGACGTGGATGGAACTAGAGGGTATTATGCTAAGCAAAATAAGTCAATCAGAGAAAGACAATTATCATATGATCTCACTGATACATGGAATTTAAGAAACAAGGCAGAGGATCATAGAGGAAGAGAGGAAAAAATGAAACAAGACAAAACCAGAGAGGGAGACAAACCATAAGAGACTCTTAATCTTAGGAAATAAATTGAGGGTTGCTGGAGTGGAGCAGGGTGGTAGGGATGGGGTGGCTGGGTGATGAAAGGGTTATGTGTTGTGGTGAGCGCTGTGTGTTGTGTAAGACTGATGAATCACTGACCTGTACCTCTGAAACCAATAATACATTATATGTTAATAATAAAAATAAATAAATAAAAATAAACACTGTTTCTTATATAAATTCTTTTTGCAAATCAACTATACTGGGGCCTAAGTTATATATAGTAAAATGCACTATTTTAATTTGTACAATTCAACAATTAAAAAAAGATATACTGACATCACAGAAAATAGCTCTGCCATGCCCTTTTGCAAATGTGGTATTAACTATATTTAAATGCTAATTTGCTGATTTAGATAACTTTTCGATGGATACTTGATAATTAACATTTGGGAAGCTGGGTAAAGCTTATAGGAGAATTGTGTGTACTATTTTTACAAGTTTTTATAAGTCTAAAATTATTACAAAATAGAGTTTAAAAGAGAAAGTCAAACTAAATCTAAAAAGAAAAAAATTAAAATGTCAATTGAGGATGATTTTTATTTATAAGCTGTTAATTTTACTAAAAAACACTAAAATGTTTTAATCCAATTTACCCACGCAGTTTTTTAAAAAGATTGTCTTTTATTTATTTTTGATCACTCATATATAATGTGTAAGTTAATGTTTACTGCTTTGGGTACAAAAAAAGGCTGAAAAAGCCTGAAATGTGTTGTAGTGGGGAAAAGGACATTACCTCTAAAATTAATGCCCAACCTGATTTCTTTAAAAATTTTGTACTGAGTGTTTTGATAACCCAAGATGACTTAAATATAACCTTTCCAAAAACACATTACTTTTTCAGTATCAGATATTTGACAACCAACCATTTGCAACTGTATCCTACTCCCATAAATCCTATATATCCCTCTCTGTCATACATGAAAACTATTGTGTGGAACAATTTTAGTATATATTTCATAGTGAATGTGGTTTATACTGAATTAATACATCTGTTGAGATACCAGAAATTACTGAATTAAATTACATTCACCAAGTTCAAAAGTACACTGATTTTCCCTTTTCCAATCACCAAATGTGTGTGTATTCATAAACAGATACAAACCCCATTTCAAAATCTGTTCCATTTAATAAGGTTGAACACTTAATTAACAATCTGTACAAATATTCTCATTTTTAAAAAGATACATATATGCATTTTACATAACTGTTTAAATTAAAGAAAATACTAAAAGAAAACAGAGCTAAAATTCTACTTATATTTTTTCTCCAATTTACATAGCTAAATCAATTTATAGTTCTTTCATATATGAGTTTTAGATTTTTATGTGCTACAAATAAGGAAATCTAAATGTTAAAAGTAAGTTTTAAGACATATATCCAATTATGTACAAAAATCACCACAGGTCAATTTATAGATTCAAGCTTAATATAAAATTAATCATATAAATTGTGAAAAAATATACTATGAAAAATTTTGTTATTAAAGTAGCATACCAACAACACATATAACCTAGTTGATTCAAAAGTATAAATAATGTTTATAAATTATAGTAGTGTCTACACTGCCCTGTCATGAAAGGAGGTATTCTTTGTAAATATGTATAAGAGTCTGACTTCTTTCAAGGGTCAAAATTATTTTCACTTTACCCATTTTCATTAAAAAGTTTATAAAAATGCATCATCTTATAAAATTGAGTACACTGAATAAGACGAAACCCTTCATAACTAAAAACCATTGGGAATGCCAATTATTAAGCGACTTGTTCAAACTATTTGTATAGATAGGGTGATTTTTTTCTTCTCTCTAAATTAAGTATGAACTTCAACACTTTTCTTAATCAGTAAAATTCTTGACCAGGTAGAAGTATTTGTTGTTGTTCACTGATCTATTTCCTCCACATTCTGAGTAGACAAAGTTGGCTTAAATCTGAACTGAAGACATGGAGTGTTATAATGTTATCAGATATGTGAAATACTTTATCTTTCAAATAAATGGATCAGTTAAAGTCAAGCAACCCTAATACATACCTACTATGAGCAAAGCACTATTTTAGGTGCTATAAATAATATACTAAGTAACAAGTTTTTAAAATGAGAAAAATTAAATTACTGACTTATATAAACACTGATCAACAGTTCATGAAGAAATCTTTTCAAAGAAAACCAATAAAATGCACCTAAGCCATTAAAAAAATCTTTTCATATATAATTGGCACTTTTCTTTACTGAATCTGGTACTTTTTCCTGGAGGACATATAACTGAATACTGTCTTGGAATCATTAAACTGTTAAAAATAGGCAAGATTAGCAAATTACCTCCGGGAATTCTTGAGAATATATGTATATGTAATGCTATTTCTGAATTCACTATATACTGGGACACAAAGAAAATAATCAACCTATATTTTAATAGTTCAGTAACCTTTTATGATAAAGGACAGACTAATGTATATAAATTTAAAAACAAAATAGCTAGTTTTAAATTCATGAATATGTAATAGTAATAGTTCTTAAAAATCATCACATGAATTTAATTAGTTTACATTTTTATACCACAAATTCTCCTAAATAAGCCCAAACTACTGGCAATGATAATTAAAATAAAACAGGTTGCAAGAAGAACAGAAATGTCACTTTGTCTTTAAAATGTAAACTTTTAACTAATAATTGGCTATTTTTTCTAATTTAGTTTATTATCTTGTTATTTCACACCTGGACAATGGGAAGTGTCTGTGTGTGTCTGTGTGTGTGTGTTCTGAGACTTTGGGTGGGCTCTGAAGGCACAGGTCTGTTTCTTACATTAAAACAAAAATAAACAAGTCCATAGATGTACAGAAAACATATTTAATTATAAAATACCAACTTTTAAAATGTGATTGTCCATATTGGGTAGATACTGCTGCAATGGCAATGTGCACTCTTACCAATGATGGCCAATTTTCCAGCTGTAAAACAGTCTCCTTTTTCTATTTCACCCTTCATTTCCTGTATTGTTGAGATCACATTCTACTGAAACAGTACTCACAACTGTTTTCTGATTTTCAAATGATACATCTGTGCCTAATGGTGGCGGCTTATACAAAAAGACTGCACACCCATTGAAGAAAACGGTGATAGTTTTACAAGCAACACCTAAATATAAAAACAAAAATTAATCATGCATTTGGGCCTTTAAGTATTAGAAAAATGAATTCTCACTGAGAAATTCCTCCCAAATAGAAACCTACTTTAAAGAGGAGGAGTATATGCATTATAGTTCCATGTTTTAAATTTTTAAAATTTTAGAGAGAAAGGTGATATTCTTCAGCAAAATATTTCTATACAATTCAATGAACTAGACCTTAATTTTCTTTCTAAACATTAAAACTGTACAATAACTATTCTTTTCTTCATTATGATTGTACATTCTTATAAAGTATCATATACAATTAAATAAATCTATGTTCTACTTCTAGCTTTATTAACACCACATCATATGTATAAAAAATTGCAAGAAATGAAGTCAATGACAAAATAAAATGGCTTACAATATCCTTGAACCTAAATAATAAGTTGTAGAATTTTCACGTCCATGATGGAAAATAATTCTAAAAATAAAAAGGCTTTGGGTTTCTTAGGAGAAAGGCTCCACAAAATATACCATATTGAATACTCAACCAAATTTAAGTATCAACTAAAAATGTGAAACAATGAGATTCACTGCACAAGCTTTGTTTTCAAAGGACTCTGATTTTGAGCTTGGCTATATAAAGAGAAACTATTTCTGGCCAGAGTATAAGCATTTAAGTGACAGTTGAATAAACTAAATGGCCTCACAATATAGTTTCTTCAGTACATAATCTGTGTTAGCCATTAGTATTTTACTCAAAATGTGTGTTTGAAAAACATGAATTCTAATTGAACTAAGCATTTATAGATTTACAGGAAGACTAATTAGGTAGGTACTACCACGATTAATGTTTTTAGAAAATTTAAAGGTATATATGGTTTGGGGAAAAAAATTCTCACATTCACCACAGAGTAGAAAGGGGAACAATTCATTATTTGTATCTTCTAGTCAAAAAGTACATGCATAACCAATTAAATAATCTTTTAAACATAAAAACACAGTGAATAAAAAAGGTTCAACAAGTAAAAGTTGTGAAAAGATTAATTTTGCCTATTCTAGCCAATATTTACCCTCCTATTACATTTTTGGATTTATGTATTTATTTCTTCAGTGGGTATTTTATTATTTTGTCATTACAAATTAAGACATCATTCTCTGGGTTTAAATGCATTAAGATTAATAAGCTCTCTTGATACATGTGCCAAAATACACACAATGAAACTCACACATTATGTAATAATACATACATATATGTGTGTGTGTGTTCATCTAGGATTTCTCTTTTTATTGAATTATAATTGATGTACAACTTATATTAGTTTCAGATGTACAAGAGTAATTTGATATTTTTAAACATTATGAAATGATCACAATAGGTCGTTACCATCTGTCTCCATACAAAGTTATTACAATACTATTTTTTTAATTTACTTTTTTTTTTAGATCAGGGGCTGAGGGAGAGGGAAAGAATCTTAAGCAGGCTTCAGGATCAGCACAGAGCCCAACTCGGGGCTCAGTCTCACGACGCTGAGATCACTACCTGAGCCAATTCAAGAGTCGGATGCTTAACCAACCAAGCCACCCAGGCGCCCTTATGATATTATTGACTATATATCTTATGCTGTAAATTACATCCATGTGACCTATTTTATAACTGGGAATTTGTACCTTTTGCTCTCCTTCACCTATTTTGCCTGTCTGCTCACTTACTCCCCTCTGTCAACCACCAGTTTGTTCTCTGTATCCGTCTGTTTGTTTTGTTTTGTTTCATTTTTCTGGCTTTTTTAGATTCTATTTGTAAGTGAAATCATATATAATTTGCCTTTATCTGACCTATGTCATTTGGCATAATACCATCTAGGTCCATTTATGCTGTCACAAATAGTAAGATTTCATTCTTTTTATTGCACTGGATATATAAACCACATTTTCTTTATCCATTCAACCTACCAATTGACCCTTGGGTTACTTTCATATCTTATTTTAAATAATGCTGCAATAAACATAGGGGTACATACATCCTTTTCAATTAGTGTTTTTGTTTTCTTCAGATAAATACCCAGAAATACCCAGAGGTAGAATTACTAGATCATATGGTAGTCCTAGTTTTAAATTTTTGAGGAAACACCATACTATTTTCCATAGTGGCTGCACCAGTCTGTATTCTGACCAATAGTGCATGAGAGTTTCCTTTTCTCCAAATCCTCACCAATAATTGTTATTTCTTCTTTTTGATAATAGCCATTCTGAGGGGTGTGAGGTGGTATCTCATTATGGTTTTGATTTGCATTTCCCTGATGATGAGTGATGGTAAGCATCTTTTCATTTGTCTGTTGGCCATCTGGATGTCTTCTTTTGAAAAAATGTCTATGAGATCCTCTGTCTGTCTTTTAATCAGGTTGTTTGCTTTTGTTGTTATTGTTATTGAGTTGTATAAGTTCTTTATATAGTTTGGATACTGACTCCTTATTGGCCATCTCATTTCCAAGTATCTTCTTCCATTCAGTAGTTTTCCTTTCCATTTGTTGATGGTTTCCTTCACTGTACAAAAAAGCTTTTTAGTTTGACGTAGTCCCTTTGTCTATTTTTGCTTTTGTTTCCCTGGCCTGAAGAGACAGATCCAAAAAATTATTATTAAGGCTGCTGTCAAAGAGCTTACTGTCTGTTTTCTTCTAGTTCTATGGTTTCTGGTCTTGCATTTAAGTCTTTAACACATTTTGAGTTTACTGTTGTGTATGGTGTAAGAAAGTGGTCCAATTTCATTCTTTTGCATGTAGCTGTCCAATTTTTGCAGCACCATTTATTGAAGAGACTGTCTTTTCTCGATTGAATGTTCTTGTCTCCTTTATTGTAGATTAATTGAGCATATAAATGTGGGTTTAGTTCTGGGCTCTCTTTGGTGCAACTGTAAAAGGATTCTTAATTTCCCTTTCTCATAGTTTGCTGTTAGTACAGAGAAATGCAAAAGATTTCTGTATATTAATTTTGTATCCTGCAACTTCCAAATTTGTTTTAGTTCCAATAGTTTTTTGGTGGAGTTCCAATACTATGTTGAATAAAAGTGGTGAGAATGAACATCCATACTATGTTCCTGATCTTAGAAGAAAAGTTTTAGATTTTTATTGTTGAGTATTATGTTAGCTGTGGCTTTGTCATATATGGCCTTTATTATGTTGAGGTATATTCCCTCTATACCTACTTTGGTTAGAGCTTTTATCATAAATGGACGTTGAATTTTATCGGATGTTTTCCTTCTATTTTTGAGATGGTCATATATTTTTTTATCCTTCATTTTGTTAAAGTCATGTGTCACGCTGATTGGTTTGTGGGTGTTGAACAAACATTGCATCCCTGGAATGAATCCCACTTAGTCAGGGTGTATGATCCTTTTAATATATTGCTGAATTAAGTTTGATATTTTGTCGAGGACTTTTGTATCTATGTTCATTAGGGATATTGACTTGTAATTTTCTTTTTTGTAGTGTCTTTGTCTGGTTTTAATATAAGGATAATGCTGGGCTCATAAAACGAGTTTGGAAGTGTTCTTTCCTCTTCAATTTTTTTCAATAATTTGAGAAGGATAAGTACTAACTCTTTAAATTTTTGGTAAAATTCACCTATGAAGTCATCTGGACCTGGACCTTTGCTGGGAGTTTTTTGATTATTGATTTAATCTCATTACTAGCAACTGGTCTATTTTCTATTCAGATTTTCTATTTATTCAAGACTCAGTCTTGAAGATTATAGGTTTCTAGGAATTTATCCATTACTTCTAGGTTGTCTAATTTGCTGGTGTATAATTGTTCATAATATCCTCTTATGATCCTTTGTATTTCTGTGGTGTCCATGTAATTTCTCTTCTATCATTTCTGATTTTGTTGGGCTCTCTTTTTTCTTGATGAATCTAGTTAAAGGCCTGTTGATTTTGCTGATCTTTTCAAAGAACCAGCTCTCAGTTTCACCGATCATTTCTATTGCTTTTTTAGTCTCTATTCCACTTATTTTTGTCCTGCTCTTTATTATTTTCTTCCTTCTAAGAACTTTGAGCTTTGTTTTCTCTTTTTCTAGTTCCCTTAAATATAAAGGTAGATTGTTTGAGATTTTGATTTTTTTTTTTTTTAAGATTTTATTTATTTGACAGAGAGAGACACAGCAAGAGAGGGAACACAAGCAGGCGGAGAGGGAGAAGCAGGCTTCCCACTGAGCAGGGAGTCTGATGTGGGGCTCAATCCCAGGACCCTGGGACCATGACCTGACCCGAAGGCAAATGCTTAACAACTGAGCCACCCAGGTGCCCCATGAGATTTTGATTGTTTCTCAAGGTAGGCCTGTATCTGTATAACTACGAACTTCCCTATTACAACTGTTTTTGCAGCATTCCAAAAATTTTGGAAGATCGTGTTTCCATTTTTATTTATCTCGAGGTATTTTTTTAATTTCTCTTTTGGATTTCTTCTTTGATCCATTGGTTGTTCAGTAGCATGTTTTTAAATCTTCACATATTTGTGAATTTTCCACTTTTCTTCTTGTAACTGATTTCTAGTTTCATATTTTTTTTGTCAGAAAAGATGCCTGATATAATTTCAATCTTCTCAAATTTATTAAGATTTGTTTTGTGACCTTGCATGTCATCTATTCTGGAGAATGTCCCATGTGCATTTAAAAAGAATGCGTATTGTGCTGTTTTAGGATGGAATATATATCTGTATATATCTGTTAGGTCCATCTGATCTATTTAAGGCCAAGTTACCTTATTGATTTTCTATCTGGATGATCTATCCATTGATCTAAGCGAGGTATTAAAGTCCCTTACTATTATTATATTACTATTTCTCCCTTTACTACCGTTAATATTTGCTTTATATATTTAGGTGCTGCTATGATGGGTTTACAATGCTGGTTTTTTTGATCCCATTATGTAATGCCCTTTTTTGTCTTTTGTTACTGTCTTTGTTTTAAAGTCTATTTTGTCTGAGGTAAGTATTACTGTTCCAGCTTTCTTTTCATTTTCATTCTCATGGAATGTCTTTTTCTATCCCTTCACTTTTAGCCTGTGAGCATCTTTAGATTTTAAGTGAGTCTCTTATAGGTAGCATATACAAGGGTCTTGTTTTTTTATCCAGCCACTCTATGTCTTTTGATTATAGAATTTAATTCACTTACATTTAAAGGAATTATTGATAGGTATGTACTTATTGCCAGGTATGTACTTATTGCCATTTTGTTAACTGTTTTCTGGCTGTTTTTGTAGTTTCTCTCTGATCCTTTTTTATTCTCTTTCCCTCTTCCCCTGTGGTTTATTTTCTTTAGTGTTTAGATTCCTTTTTCTTTTCCTTTCTGTATTTACCATAATTTTTTTATGTGTGTGATTACCGTGAAGCTCACATATAACATATATATTTAACAGTCTCTTTTAAGTTGATGGTAACTTAATTTTGAACGTATTTCAAATCTTGATACTTTTACTCACACCCTCCATGTTTTAGATGTTTGATGACACATATCTTTTTATTTTATGTTCCCTTAACTAATTATTGTATTTTAAATTAACTTTACTAATTTTGTCTTTCACCCTTAACACTTCCATTATAAGAGGCTTATCTACTACCTCTATTATTTATTTACCTTTACTTCTGAGATTTTTATTTTCATGTTTTATTAATTAATGCCTTTCCTTTTTAGCTTAGAAAAGTCCCTTTAGCATTTCTTGTAAGGCCAGTTTAGTGGTAATGAACTTCCTTAGCTTTTGCTTACTTGGAAAACTCTTCAACTCTCCTTTAATTCTGAATGATAACCTTGTTGGGGAGAGTATTCTTGGTGGCAATTTTTTTCCTTTCAGTGTTTTGAATGTTATTCCACTTCTTTCTGCCCTTTGCAATTTCTGCTGAAAAATCTGCTGATAACCTTATTGGGTTTCCCTTATATGTAATTTTTTTTCTCTTGAGGCTTTTAAGATTCTCTATCTTTACCTTTATCATATTTTAATTATAATTGGTCTTGGTGTATTTACCTTTGGGTTCATCTTATTTGGAACTCTGGACCTGCATGTCTGTTTCCTTCTCTAGATTAGGGAAGTTTTCAGCCATTATTTCTTCAACTAATTTTTCTAGCCCTTTACTTCCTCTTCTCCTTCTGAGGGCCCTAGAATGGAAATGTTATTCCACTTGATGCTGTCCCAGAGGTCCCTCAAGGTATCTCGTCTTTTAATTCTATTTTCATTTTGCTGCTCTGAGTGTTTTCCATTGCTGTCTTACAGCTCACTGACTGATGCCTCTAATTCATCCATTCTGCTACTGAAACCCCTAGAGTATATTTTAGTTCAGTTATAACTTAACGTTTGGTACTTTCTTATATTTTCTACCTCTTTGTTAAAGTTCTCACTGTGTTCACCCATTCTTTTCTCAAAACTGGTGAGCATCTTTATGGCCATTGCCTTGAACTCTTAATCAGGTAGACTGCTTATCTCCATTTCCTTAAGGTCTTTTTTTCTGGGATTTGCTTTGTTCTTTGGTTTGGAATCTGTCTTCTCATTTTGCCTGTCTCTCTGTGTTTATCTATATGCATTAGGTACAATAGCTACTTCTTTCAGTCTTGAGGTAGTGGGCTTGTATAAGAGCTGCTTCATGTGGCCCCAAAACACAGTCTTCCTTGGTTACAGACTCAGGCCCTCTATGGACATCCCTCATGTGGGCTGCATGTCCTAGCTGTCTATAATAGGGATGCACCTGCTGTATGGGATAGGTGACACTCAGGGTACTCACCCAGCCCAGTTTTGGCTTGGTAGCTGTGTAAATAGGGCAGGGTTGGAATGTTCACCTGATCCAGCTGCAGCTTGTCTGCCACATTAGGAGGGTGGAGCTCAGGGAACCTGACCACACGTTTACATCTTGGCTGCTAAATGGGAAGGATGGAGCTCAGGAAGCTTGCCCATCCTAACTGTGGCTAGATCTCTGCACAGGGTGGGTGGGGTGCAGAGTATGTGTCCAGCCTGGTTACAGGGCAGGATGGGCAGAGCATGCCCTCTGGTGCTAGCAGGCTGGAGGAAGGGCATGGAAAATGGCACACCCTGATTCTGTCACCAGCAAGTTAGGATAAGACTACAAAAATGGTGCCCGCCAGGGCTTTTGTCCCTGGATAAAACCCCTGCAGGCTCCTGCCTCTCTAGCAGCCACTTTAAAATTACTAAGTGGGTCTTCTGTGCTTATGGTCTGGGTGCCTTTCATTCTGTTGCTTTTGTGCTGGATCTCAGGATGAGTGGGTTTGCACATGAACCCTTTAAGAGTGGAATCTCTGTTCCCTATAATTCTGTGTTTCTCTTGGTCTTAATCCCTATCGATTTTCAAAACCAGATGTTTGGAGATCTTGTCTTTCCAGTGCCAGTCCTCTGAGTCAGAATGCCTGTTGTGGGACTCAACCCCTTCGCTCGTTGAAGAAGTGCTCTTTGTTTATGGAATCCTTCCCAATTGTGGAGTTATCATGTCTGGGGTAAGATCATGGGCAAGGCCATGTCTCTGCCTTTTCTACCCTACTCCATGTATCTCTTTTGTCCCTTGTTATGGGGTGCTGTGTTCAGTGCTAAGATCCTTTTCTTCAGAAATTATTCTACATGTAGCTATAAATTTGTTGTGTTTATGGGAGGAGATGTGTTTAGGGTCCTTCTGTGCCACCATCTTGAAACCTCTACCTCCATTTTTAATTTAAATATATAATTTTAGGTTGTTTTTAAATTTTTAAATATTAACTCTTACAAAATAGATATATTGGTCTATTTCCTCAATCTTCATTGTTATTTATTGTTTAACCAAGAGTATCTAAGACAGACTACCAAAACCAAAAAGGGTTAAACATCATAGCTAACCTTTTAAACTATAAAAACATTTCTTACAACATGCTTTAGAGCCAAAGGATACTTCCTACCTCAGCTCTAAGTGCTTTCCAAAGCCCAGGTACCTAGATGACAATCATTCCAGAAAGTTTCTCAGAATTGTCTTTTAGCTTTTTGTTAGTAGACATTCAAAACAAATTTTGAGAGAAGTTGTTTAAAAAAAATGTATGTGATTTTATGAAAGCTAAAATGTTATTCTCTTCTATTTTAGACTGAGCCTTACAACTCATTAAAGTCTTTCATAACTTGCTGTGATAAATGATCTCTGCTTCAGAACTACAGGATAGCCCAACAGCACGGACTGAACATTACAAAACTTAAGTAAGTAACAGCAAGATCTTTTTCTCTTGACATCATAAATTTAATCTAAAGTTATGAAGAAATCACCACTTACTTATGGCTACTAGCATATGGGCCATCTTGATGTTATTATAAATCCAGCAAGCTCCTTTAGTTCCACATTCATTAATATCCCACAGAATACATGTGCTGTCTATTGTGACACCAAATATAATTGGTCCAGGTATTGTGCCTAGAAGAATTATATGTGAAATACACAATCAGTAAAGATTACAGTCTATAGTTAACAGGTTTTTATATACATGGTTATAAATATATTTTATGTAAATAAGACTAGGAACTAATCTGTCCATATACAGATCAATCAGGTCATGTGCAAGTAAAAGCGATAGAAAGAAATATAGATAAAACATTCTAAAATAATTAAATAATTATATATTTCTAATCAACTCAGAAAGTTATTTTAATAATAAATCTGGCATATATTGGGTTAACACTTAGCTAAGTAAATATTTTAATCCACTGCTTTTCTAATTTTTCTAATTTAATGACTATGCCTTTGAAATTAGCTGTTCTACTTTTTTTAAAGATTTATTTATTTGAGAGAGAGAGAGAGTGAACACAGGGAAGGAGAGAGGGAGAGAAAAACTTTAGCAGACTCCTCACTAGGCTCAGAGCCCGACACGGGGCTTGATCTCATGACCCTGAAATCATGACCTGAGCCAATATCAAGAATTGGATACTTAACCAACTGTACCACCCAGGGGCCCTAGCTATTCTACTTTTTAAAAATCGAAATTATTGATGTGTTATGTGTATGTGCATGTGCATGCATGAGAGTGCACATGTGTATGCACACACACACACAGGCACACACATTCATACCAACATGAATACTCTCTCAAACATACCTCCTCCCTCGCATGAAGTCATGAGGTAATAAACTTTCACATATTTAAGGAGTTTCCAACTGTTACAAATCAAATACATTTCTTAGACAAAGATTTCAACTACATCCAGCCCGTTCTTTCATGACCTGCAGCATGATACAGAGTCAAAGGAGCACTGGACTGAGAGTAAGGATATCATTTTCCTAGTTTCTTTTTCACCACGAATTGTTTAACTATGGGCAAATCCCTAAATCTCTCAGAGCCTTAATTTATTAATCTGAAAATTGGAAAGCTGGTCCAAGTGATCTCTAATGTCCCTGCTTCTGGTTTTTGTTTTTATAAATGATTTCAGTATTATCTGTATAATACTGTGGGTATAATCATATACACATATAATTATGTATATAATACAGTATTTCTGTCCTTCTACTTCTTTCTACATCTGGAATCTTATAAAAATTTCCATAAAGTCTTTCAACAATTCTCAACTAGCCACAATATCTATGCCAAAGTTTCATTTAAATACTTTAACTCATTATTTTTCATTTCTAATACAATATAATTATGTCCCAAATGGAGATAAATGCTGGGAAGAAAAGGAATTGCCATAGCTATAAATAAGATTTCATCATAATTTATATTGGTAATGGGCTTTACATGAATAGAAAAAAATTTACGTATTTTACTATGCTCTATTTTTAAACGTGTGTTCATGATCTTATGTTGTACTTTAAATAAATATGACACACTCTTTAAAGTTACATTTGTAACAGAATTGGAAACAACAGTTAACTAATTAGGTAGGTGAAAAGTGAAGTCATTATTTTCTTATGTGATATATAAATAATACTATATCTTGAATATTAGAAAACAGCTTTCTTCAATGACAATTAGGCAGTTTTCCATGGTATTTAAATTAATTATTTTCTTGGCACATAATGTAAGTGAGTAAACCAATAACACTAACGAACAAAAATAACCAACAGTCACCAATGAATTAAGAAAAAGAGCATACCTAATAATCGAAGCAGCATAAACTGTATTCCCAATGCTAGGGACCGCTGCCTGTAATGAACACACCTGGAGATATCAAATACATATTAAACCAAAAGTGGTTGTATCGTATATTTGCTCTTTGAGCAAATTTATTTTTATACCAGCTTAGCATTTCTAGATTAAAATAAATGGTATGTGCATTAAATAAACTATTTGTAACAGCTTATATACAGTTCAACCTTTCTGTAATTATAAAAGAAGAAAAATAGTATGTGAACGAAAAACACTACAAATATAAGTAACACCAAAAAGGGACAAATAAAGTTTAACAAATGTATTGAATATGTACGAACTGTAACAAAAGTAAAAAAGAAAGGACATGTATTAATAAGACTTATTTTTAACTATCCCTTAAGTCACAAGTAAATAATTCCTACTCTAACTTACTAACTTTGAGATAGAAGTCATATCTATGGGATAAGGTACAAATCTGGGTCAATGTAAAATAGTTGCTGAGGCTCGATCTGATTTTAGGTAACGGTTATCAAAGATGAATAAAACATGACGCTGGCACCCAAGAATTACATAGGAGATAAAAGAGATCAACATGTAGTTGAAAGGTAATGCAGATAATTTTTCAAAAATGAAGTTTTAAAAAAGCATTTTCTTAATTCTCTAAACAACTCCAGTGTCCACGTAGGATAATGTTAACAGACTATTTAGTACTTCTAGACAGAATCTCTAAAATTTCCAATTGACAAAAAAGTGTGTGAAAAGATAGTATCAGGGAACAAAAACTGAAGCTAGAATTTGTTAGGAAAGACACAGAAAGGCTGATGAACTTATGACAGCGCAGACAGAAAATAGTTTTATCAAGTGATGTAGAAGGAGAAAGAGCAACTTGAAGCTCAAAACACTGTTAAGAGTCAGGTGACAGCTAGCTTCTCATCCAGCAGAGCACTGTTTACAGGAAAGCTGAATATCACAGCACCTACTACATAAGGTAGAATTCTGTCATTCTGATTCTGACATATGTGGAATGCACTGCATTTCCATCATACTCAAACACAGTCCAACAGCTTCAACTGAAGGGTCATGAAAGAGGCAGAGAAACTAAAGTCAAGTATATTCCAGGTAGGCAACATCAAGACATTTTCACATACATAATCATATTTAAACCTCATTCATCTGGGGATCGATGAAACAGGTTTTCCACGCCATGGAACTAATGATCTTAAAAGAACCAAATTAGTATTGGAACTAGCGGTCAATAGAAACCCCAAATGAACCCTTGAGTCCATTTTCTTTTCACCCAACATGTCTTAGGGATGGCAAATTTCACAATATATACCTTAGGATGGACACAGTTATAGGAGTACCAGCCATAAATGTAAAGATAATTGTAGCAAAAAAAATGCCAAGAAAAACGGGTAACTTTGCACATCGATTTTCACATTTTCCAGCTTTAGCTTCAAAATCAAAATTTGCCAAAGTAGGTGTCATTTCTATATTCCTTTCAATACAGGAACAGTTGTAATATACCTAGAAATATTAGACAAGAAAATATTGAAAGCACTTATCTTGAAAATATATATTTAAAGATTATTTATTTATTTATTTGAGAGAGAGAGAGAGAGAGAGAGAGCAAACAGGGGGAGGGACAGAAGGAGAGGGAGAAAGAGAATCCTCAAACAGACTCCTTGCTGAGCACAGAGCCCAACACAGGGCTCCATCCCAGAACCCTGGAATCATGACCTGGGCCGAAATCCAGAGTCAGCCACTTACCCAACTGGGCCACCCAGGTGCCCCTCTTGAAAACATATTTTATCATTTTAAGTTATGTGATCTCTAGACATGACAAACATTTTACACAGTCTTAATCTATACACAACAAATAATGCTGAGAAAGAATAATTAACTTTTAAGAAATTAAGTGAAAATAAGGGGCCATATTTATGGCCTGTATTTGAGTTTTGTGTTCATTGTTTCAAATTGTAACCTACTATTGACTCATGACTTATAATATAAATTGACAAGAATACAGCAATTACCAGATCTCACATTCTAGACTACTTTTAATGGCTCATAACTGTTCAAATAGTTTTCCATTAAAGAAGGCAAAGAAGCATGTGGAGTGACAATCTCACTCTCCACATTAGTTTGAAAGGATGAACACTGTAATTTTAACAAGTGCCACAGTCAAATCAACTAATACATCACAAGTCTCTAGGAAAAAAAAATACTACTTTCAACTAAATTACTATAACTTTCTGAACTTTTTGTAATTGTTTTACTAAAAGCAAAAGCAAACTATATGCCTTCTAAGATGACATTTTTATAACAATAAAACATAGAAGTTATTACTTCATTATCCTGAAAGCTATTTTATATGTAAATATAAAATATTAACTATTTAATATATACATACATACAAATTAATAATCTAAAGTGTTGGAAGGTAACACGTTAAAAGATCACAAGTATCACTTTTATAGGAAAAGAATTGAGAGTTTAGGAAGTTCGTAAGGCATAATTATTTTTTAAAGGTCTTTTACACCTCAATTCTATCCTTACTATAAATCTTTTTACAAGTTTAAGGCCTCAATAAAGTTAGAGTAAAGCCAAAGAAGTCAAAGGGAAATGGTCCTTTTATTATTCTGAAGGCCAGAAACCTTTTTTCAGTGCTAAAGCTAATCTAAGGCCACTGGTATTGATTCAGGACATCCAAATACACGGATGACACTCCCACAATGGAATATTACATGCTCAGCAATGGGATATATCAAATAATGAAGAAATGTAGCCTTTTAAATTTTTAAAATAAAAGTATTTTCTATCTCGATGTAATTTTACACCTCTCTTACATAAAAACGTATACAATTTTGCTTGCTTATATAACTATACCTAGCTGTCAGTCAATATCTGTTTTGTTGTTTGGGTCACTAGTGTGAAATATAAGACTAATATTTCTGTGAACAAATGTACATAAGTATTTACTATACTATTATCAATGCATTTTGCCTATTTGAAATATGCCATTAGGAAAAAAAAAAATCCTGTGAAAAAATGAGTTGTTACGTGGACTAAATGGACATGAAAAAGCCAGGACAAATAGAAAATATGAAGTCAAAATATTTGTTTTTCCTAAACAATCCCTAGAAGACAATTTGCTAGTTAAGATGGCAATTACAGTATTTGGAGAAAAATATAAATATCAAATTAATCATATCAAAATAACCAATACCATTTAAAATGTGCTCTGGTTATTAGATTTTTTTTTTCTTTTTTGGGGAGGAGGTTTCCATATACAGGATAGTATTTGTGTCTAACGTTTTCAGTTATGTGAGTAAAACCCTACAAATATCTCCTTGTGATCTTTTCCTAAGTAGAGTCAGTCAGTAATAATTATTAATCATATTTTATACACAAGAAAATAATACCTACATACACCTGCCTCTCAAAGGAACAGTTAGCTACCTTACTGGTAGTTCTGATTCTATAATGTGCATCATGCTCATTTGTGGAATTCGATTTCTTGTAACTGACACAAACACCTAATTTTCTCAACCTGTTTTGAAACTAAAGCAATCCCAGATGTCTACCGGTTTGAAGGCATGATAAACTTCAGACTTGAGAGCTCAAAAATCTTCCTGATGTCTTTTATTTTTCATAGGCACCTAACGGTAATGATCTAATTAGTTTTATCCCAAGGATTAAAACTGCACATATGGCATCCAAGTCTATTAGGCCTACTATGATTCACCAGACATTTTTTTTCTGTCATATTTTTTAGTGTTCTTAGATGATCATTTAAAAAATCTATAACCTAGGTAATATGAAAAAATGTACATTGTTTCTCATATTCTCACACTTCTTGCAGGAAGATCAAATCCTAGTATGTTCAAACTTCTACTGTATTTATTGCACATAAAATTATTAAAGATATGCATATATATGCACATGCACATACACAGATTTATGTATGTATTTATGAACATACAAATGTATATAACCACACACACACAAACACATCCATGTTGGTTTTAGAAGAAATCTGAAGTAATTTTATGGATCGTTTCAATTATCTATTTCTACTTATTTACAAAGAAATCTTTTCTTGCAATCTTCAACTTCTCTTTATATGGGAAAATGAATGTCATTTCATTATTCTACATTTCAAATATTCAAGATTGTGCTGTTTTGTCATGTAATTCTTATATATCTTATTCATTGTGATCTCTTATATCATAGTATATATTTCCCTCAGGTCTTCTTAAAGTTATCACATTATCTATTAATGCATAACATATGTACTACAAATAATCTGAATGTTATTTTTTCCCCAAACTCTTAAATTTAGCCAAGATGAAATCCAACAAAATTCTATTGGATTCTCTTAAACCATTTAATTGTTAAAAAAATCATATATAGGTAAACTAATATGCATTCTAATCTAGAATTAAAAGTAAATTTGTATTTGAGAATTAATGATTTGGGTATTTTAAAATGAATCCATGGTGCATCATATCAAAGCAATAAATATTTATTATGCTTCCATTATACACACAGTATTTAGTAAGAATAGAAGTTCTCGGACTTCTGGGGCATAAAGTATGGCTGAGAAAAAAATAAAAAATATAAAAATGTAAATAATATTTCACTACTGTAACAGAAGTAATGTTACAAAGATGGATGTGAATAACTGCAAAACTGATTTTTCCACATTCAATGCATCTGAGATATAAAGGAAGAAGGGTCTTTTTCAGCTGGAGTGCTCAGGTGCTTAAAAAAAATATATATATATATATATACACACACACACATAATTAAAGTAAGAACGCTTTGCATGAGCTCTACCCTCTTAACAAATTTAAAGCTTACATTATTGTTGATAATAGTTACAATGTTGTACAGCAGATCTCTAGAGTTTATTCATCTAACTTGACTGAAACTTTACCTCTGGCTTCTGAATGGAGGAGGTAGGAGAGCAAGGGAAGAAGAAGCACTACATAATTCCACTAGAGGAATAAAGATGGCCATCCATACTTATACAAACACACTGCCTCATTAAAGTAAAGTAGAAGACACAAGTTACCTTTAGATGTCTTTTTGAAATATAATTTCTACAACCTGCAAAGCAGGGAGAAAAATACTGGATTCCATCTCCTCCACAGACAGGATAATAATATGATCGCAAGCAATTACAATTGGTATTACAAGGAGCGGTCAAGTTTCCCAGTTTTCCTGTCCTGTGAACAAGAAATGAAATAAGGGCAAATTATCTATGTTATAACTTTTAATGAACAGTTCAGTAGCATTGCTATATCTTGCCATTCAGTCAATTTACTCGCTCAACACGTATTTAGTTACTGAAAGAATAAAACAAATAAAATGTCTGCCTTTTCACATAGAATTTAATTTCTTATGGGAGAGAGAGTAGTATAAACAATACTTATATAATGTATGTCTGTGATAAGAAAAACAGGCAGAGTAAGCAAATAAAACAAGGTTTCTCATTTGGCACTAGATTATTCTTTCAAGGGGTGGCAGGGAGGGGCTTGATGATTTTGTGGATTGTAGGATGCTTAGCAGCATCCCTGGTCTCTCTACACACTAGATTTCTGTAGCAACCCTCAGTTATGACAACCAAAATGTCTGCAGACATCAAAAAATCTCTCTGGGGCGTGGGCAAAATTTTAAACCTAGAAGCATGAATAAAATAATGGTATTCAACATACTCATTTTATCAGTAGAAAAACTAGGGCCCAGAGAGATTAAGTTACTTTTCTGTCTTTGCCAAATATTCCCGGTTCCCAGGCTCAGTTCTGTTCCATGCTGCTTCTTAATAGGATGCAATATCTTGGATAAAATAAAGGGTTACCTTAAGCAAAGACACTTCTCCAGTCCCTATTTATTCATTCATTCAACCAATAAACATTGAGCAAATGCTGGACCCTATGCTAGGTATCAGGAATACCTGCCACAGGCTGCTGCTAGATTTCTTTTTCAAGCACTGTTTTACTCACAAAAGAAAGCATTATGGTCTACTTACAACTAGCTTACAATATAAATAGAGAAGTACAGCGACTAGAAAAATACTACCTCTTCAATTCTAAAAAACAACCTCTATAAACATTTTTAAATTTAAATTTTCCAATTTATAATTCTCACGTTATGAATAAGTGACTACTGAGAACATGAAAATATAAGACAGTATGATGCAAACTTCAGTAGAAACAGAGAAATACAGCATATATTCCTTTTTCAAACCTATATAAGCCACTTAACCCTATATGTTTTATAAGGATTTACTGCATGAGGTAAAGGGGAACCTGTTATTAGGAAAATAGCTAATGCTTGCAAAGTTTATTAAATGGTCTTAATATATACATAGTATTTTAAAAATATATAAAATATTTAAAATTTTAAAATTTTTGAATATTTAAAAAATATATACATGTGTATAAATGCACACTTTCATATATATGAGTAACACATTTATCACAAGTAGAATTTAAATGCTAATTTCTTATTTGAATCCAAACTATCCTCTAATTATTCTTCTACCATAAGCAAAGATTTCCCTAAACCTATTACAACATCCTAATAGGTATGTTTCTTTAAGGCGCTGTTTCAGATAAGCAAAGAAATTCTAGCTAGAGACCGGATAGAGAAAAAATACTGTGTACTTACTACAATATTTCATATTTTATGAAGTTCTAAGTATAAAGTAAAACACAAATCACCACCAACAACAGATTACCAAAACAGACCCAAACTGCCTAAAGATTGTCAAGGCAATAAAAGAACCATGGGAAGTTTTAATAACTAACAGATTCTAGAAATGACAGTCTCTTTTCAATTGCTGTGTCCATATTAAGCATTTAAGAATGAAATTATATAAAATACTATAAATACTAATAATATCCCCTGAAATAATCAGTATTGCTGATCTTAAGTTTTTTATATATACTGTTTAACAGGGTTTTAAATGAACTTATCAATAAGCCTAACTTAGTACATAGTCAAAAAAGCTGTTTTTAACCACTTGTGATTACATGGCAAGGGCAAAGACTCTTTGCATCACTCTACTAGAAACTACATTTTCATAACTTCTTTCTTCCACTAAGCTTCTTAGTCTAGTCTTCTTTCCATATACTACTTTTTCTTATACATGTGTTTCTTGGATGAGGCTACACTGACTAAGCTGCCCATGCTATGTACATTTTAATATGCAGCATGCAGAGCTAAAATTGAGAATTTGGGGCCACGGAGAAAAACAGAAAAAAGCAATCTGACAATGTCTCACTTCCTTTGTGACATTAAACTCTATCTCTATTTATATCTAAACACTCACACCCCTCAAACTGGCACCTTCTCACTTGTCTTCCTTCCTGTCCATAGGCTAAAGACAACTTATTTGGTAGTAACTCATGTTTAAGGTTAAAAAATAGCAAACAGATTCATATCTACATCATTCATTTTTCAAGGTGATTAACTAGTCTTAAACTATCCAGAACTTTCTAAAAGGAACATACAAAAAAACAAGTGGTTTCTCGGGATATGTTTGGGTAGTTTGTTGGTGTGCACGTCAGGTCTGCAGAGCTTACCTCCACCCACATTCAACATTTCCAGATACTTTTTTATTTACAGACACATGACCTAAGTCCCATTCAAACTGGTTCCTGAAGACCTAGCCTTTATTTTCTAGCATTTATGGCTAACATATTCCCTTTGCCTTTCTCTCTACTCAAAGCTCTTTTTATCCTTAAAGGATATGTAAGCCCATACCCTTCCTGAATCTTATTAAAGGAAACTGAGAAGCTCTCCTTTTGAATTTCATAGCCCTTTGTATGTCTCTCATTACCTAATGCATTGTTCATTTACCATTTTGTTTCCCAATCTCTCCTGCTGCATTCATTGTAAACTCCTTTAGAGCAGAGATTTTGTCCTAAAGGTCAGCCAGAGGATGTGGTCAACAAATGTTGAATAAATGTAGTGGAACTGAACTTAACATTGCTTCAGAATGCTCAACGTCTCATGTAACAGAATGACAGAAATGCATAGCACCTGCAAATCGTAATTGTTACGGGCAAACTCATCCAAACAAAGTACATTCTATTTAGGTTCTCTGAATGCCATATTCTACAAAACTGGAGTCCTTGACCTGGATGGAGTACCAGCTCCCTCATCAGCCTCAAACACATGCAATGAAACATTAAAGCAACAATGCAGGCTATAAATGCACCACTGGGCAACGCCCTCCTGCCTGATCCCCTAAGTCATGGTTTAGGATTTCAAAACCAAACAAACATGGCAAAGAAATAAAATGATCACATCACTTATAGGTTAAAAACATGTTTACTGGTCAGAACAAAAAGTCATTTATTTCTCTACAATAAACATGAACTCCTACAGTAGAAACAAAAATAAATAAATAAATAAATAAAGTAGAAACCATAATCATTAGTATAACCTAGGACTAGCTTCATTTTAATTTCTCTCCTACACTATTTTCAACCCACCTAATACATGAATTTCATCATAGGGAGTCACCTCCATTTTTAAAGACTTAGATCAATAGCAATATAAAATGTAAAATTCTCCCTAGGATGTGAATCCCTTCAGAGCAAAGACTCTGTTATATTCAACTCTGTATCCTTGAACGTAGTACCCAGGATAGAACAGGTGCTCCTTAATTGTTCTCTGAATAAATACCCAACATTTAATAAGATGTAGATTATTTAAGTGAAGAAACAAAACAAACCTACATATTTTTTAGAGGAAAAAGTCTTCCAATTGGGATGGGTTAGCTCAGTGATGGGTATTAAGGAGGGCACGTATTGCATGGAGCACTGGGTGTTTTACAAAAACAATGAATCATGGAACACTACATCTAAAACGAATGATGTACTGTATGGTGACTAAGATAACAAAACAAAAAATGAAAAATAATAAAATATAGCCAGTCTTTCATTATTTGATTCAAGAAAGCATATACTTCGAAATATGCACATCGTTTATAACCCTGATATTAATACCAAAAAGCAGTGAAATATATTTACCCATTATACAATTCAGACACACCGGCAAATTGCTCATTTTCACAGTTGGCATAAACAAATACAAAACTCAGTGCAAACGCAACTAAAGATGTGAGCAAAGCAAACTTCATTGAATTTTTACATGTCATTTTGAGTTTTGAAACAAGGACACCACCTAAAATCTGACCAAGAGCAGCTCCAGGAATTAAAACAGCCCCTGACGAGAAAGAAGACACAGAGTGAGAAAACACACAAGTGTACTCAGTTACTCATATGACAATTGGAAAACATCAAAAACAAGCACAGTATTGTTTTAACGAATACTATCATGCAATTTAGAAACCTATAAGTAAAATAGTGGTTATGTCAAGAGATTAATAAAATTAATGTGTTGGATATTAAGATGAGCAAATATTCTCTTTAGTTACACAGCCTCTGTAATTCTCATTCATACAACAGACTAATGTCAGAAAATCAGAAACCTGGGCGCCTGGGTGGCTCAGTCGGTTGAGCGACTGCCTTCGGCTCAGGTCATGATCCTGGAGTCCCGGGATCGAGTCCCGCATCGGGCTCCCTGCTCAGCGGGGAGTCTGCTTCTCCCTCTGACCCTCCCCCCTCTCATGCTCCCTGTCTCTCATTCTCTCTCACAAAAAAAAAAAAAAAATCTTTAATAAATAATTTGAAAAAAAAAAAAAGAAAATCAGAAACTTGTATGAAAATCAGTATAAATTTTAAAAAGTGGGCTATCCAAAATGATACACTGTTCTAATAAACATTTAATGCGGTAAAGTAAAATTATTAAACTCAAACCAAAAGGAAAATGTTTACCTGCAAGGGTGGCTGCAAAGCTGGAAGACAATCCAAATTGATTTTCTATAAATTTAGGTAAAAATGTAGCAAACCCAGTAGTAATTAAGGCTTCTGAAGCAGTTGAAAAAACTAAACACATAAAGACAGTATTCCGCATCAAATTCTAAGGAAAAAACATAGTTCATCAAATGAATAACTATGATTATACTGCAAAATATAGCATTAGAATAGCAGCATGATGAAATGACTAATTTTTAATAAATACAATTATCTATAAAATTTCAGCATTTTCTCCAGTACAAAAGCATAACTATGGAATATTAATAGCTTTATATATACTATGTTGAGATCATTTATATGTGCAACACCTAGAGAACTGACAGGTGATTCATCAGGGTGATTGTGCCTTATCATATGCAGGGACTGGGTAAAGGATTTTCAAAGCCAGCTTGGAAAGATTCCCTTCCCCAGTCTACTATAAATCTCCATACATTAAATCTACCCCTTGTCTGATTTATTTTACTGTGTTTTGAATTTCCATGTCTAGTAAATGAAGAACTCAACTACAAGCACAGAGGAGAATGGTCTCTAAGTTATCAAATTTATATTGTTCCATAAGTAAAGGACTCAATAGTTAAGAACATTAGGTAGTTATAATTTTAAATATGGATTGCTGGACTTCTCAGAATCTTTTTCATTTATCCGGGAGACTATAGGGATTAATAAATCCAATTTATCTAACCATAAAGTAAAGCCAAATTATAGTTCTGGAATATTAAATGCAAAAAATTTCAATCAAACAAAATACACACATGTACACACCCACACACAGGAATGATGAAGGGGCAAGATAGAGAGTGAGAAGTCAGATCCAGATGATCTAACATAAGAATAACAATAGCGACAAAAGGAGAAAAAGTACCTGAATGAAAACATTCACTATTTTTTAAAAATAATAATAGCAGAAAATATTTAAATCTTCATATTAAAAAAGATAATGGATTTCTGTCAAGGATTAATGAAAAAACACATATAGTGAGGTAAAACCTAACAAACTGCCTGAAATTAAAGATAAATGAAAAAATGTATGAATCTGTAAATGGAGATAAAAAAGAATCACACTAACATGAAACTTCTCAACTACAACACATTTAAGTAGAAAAGAGCAATATAACACCCACAGACTTCTGAGACTAAAAGAATATGATCCGGAAGTGTCCATCTAGTCAAAATATCATTTAGTATTCAAGGATACTCAGATGGTATCCTGCCTGAGGAAAACTAGCAATAAAATACCATACCCAGAGAGATCTGATTGAGAATTGAGACGTCGAAGCATGAAACCGTAGGAATAAAAAAAAGCAGCAGGGAGTAATAACCCTTGATGGCAATATACATAAGAATTTATAAAATAAATAAAATTTTTATGAAAGAAAACAGTAGTTGGAACAATCTCAGCAAAACACAAGAATTTGCCTGCATGGGAGAGAACAGAGAGTTGAAAGGTGGGATAAACGGAGTTAGAACATTTTAAGTTTTCATTTGACGGGGAAAATAAAAATAATTGAAAAGTAAATAATTTCAAATCTTGAAAAGGTAAAATTATAAACTCCTGTATGTATAAAACTTTTATGATGCTAAATGGAAAGAACGTTTTTCTGAGGAGTACAACAGAACAGACCAGAACACTTGTTTCTTCAACCTCAAATTCAAACCAAGTAACCACTAACTGCCACTTCTTTCACAACGGAAAAATATTGGCTTGACATTCTCAAATATATATTTACAATTCAGTGATAACTGATCGATCCATTACATGAGGGAAATGGCAAGGAATAATGATTGGCTATAGCGCTAATGAGGAACCACTGAATAATGATATTTGATATCAATAAGTTAACTCATGTTCTTTTAACCGTTCTACCCTGGAATAGTTCTCATTTACTCAAAGCATAATAAAATTAAATCTGAAGTCATTTATTTATAAGAGCTGGAACTATAGTAAATAGGCAAACAAAAATGCATCATGAAAATATTTGTGTGTATATATGTATATATTTATTCATGTATATATGTAATATATACATATATCTACCTATCTATAGGTGCAGGAGGGTGTGTGTGGGGGGCTGTGTGTACAGTGTTATTTTACCTTTAGAGCAGCTGGAAAATCTTTCAAACTTGTTCCAAAATTCTCCTCTGTGTGTTTTAAGGAACTATGCCTTTCCTGATGAGTCTGGCAAATTCTTTCACTATGAATTTTTGCTGTACCTAAAAAAATAGTAAATGGACTCGCTCTATCACTTCATTCTTCATTTTTTTAAACGCTTACTTTTTAACTGACACACACTTCTATAAATATATAAATTTTGTAACGTAAGAAGCCAGTTCCTCTTTATCAACCAAATTGCACAAATTATCTATGTCTGTAATTTGTCTGTCCTGAGAGCTAGTATTATTCCTATTAGCTAAAGAACTTCCAATCAGTCTAGAAATTAAAATGAGACAATTTTGTTCCAATGACATATTTATTCCCTTTATTTACAAATATCTCTTAAATTCTTTTCTTCCTTTAAAATGGATCGCTTTTTCCTCCATCATCCATTATATATTAAACGAAGTATGTTTGAGGCTCTTTTCCTTTACATTCTTTTATTCTAACATGCTTTGCAAATGAAACATTTACCATGTATTACCATGACCCTTTGATTTTTAATAATGGCACTGTCAATAAATCTGAGAAAACAGTCAATATATGGAATTATAAGTTGGATGGCCCAGGGTAGAAAGAAATCAATGAGTCCACCTATTTCTACTCTGTCAACTTTTCTTCTGCCCATTCCGAAAAGTTAATCATCTATCCTGTTACACATAACAATATGAACAACTATTTAACTAATTTCTGCCTACAGAAAAATACTTCGACAGGTAACGTATTTGAACTACATGGTTATATAGAAGCAAAATTTTAGAGAGAAAGGAATGGATATTCTTTTCTCTTAATCTTTTCTTTTTTAGGCAAACTAATATTGAAATATGGTGAAAATGAGCACTGTGAATTGTGTAAGACTGTTGAATCACAGACCTGTATCTCTGAAACAAATAATACATTATATGTTTAAAAAAAAAAAAAAAAAAAAAAAGAAGCCTATGGCCCTAGCAGCCTGATGGCAGCGCATCTCTTCTGCTCTTGGAAAAAAAAAAAGAAGAAGAAGAAGATAGCAGGAAGGGAAGAATGAAGGGGGGGAAATCGGAGGGGGAGACGAATCATGAGAGACTATGGACTCTGAGAAACAAACTGAGGGTTCTAGAGGGGAGGGGGGTGGGGGGATGGGTTAGCCTGGTGATGGGTATTAAAGAGGGTATGTTCTGCATGGAGCACTGGGTGTTATGCACAAACAATGAATATATATATATATGTGTATAAATATATATAACAAAATATTATTAACATGTTATATATTATAGTATTGTATAGTATATATAATATTATTAACATATTAATAATATATTAACATAGTTAATAATATATTGTTAAGTTATTATATTATTAAGTATATCTATAGTAAAAAAGTGAATATATACAGTTTTATTGCTTTTATTAATTGGAAATAAAGGAAAACCATGAGTATTAAGATAGCTACCCAAAATTTCCTAAAGACAAATATTCAAAAGTTTATATAGGAAGACAACTGAAATTCTATAAAACAATGAATTTTCTAGAGTTCTTAGAAATTATAAGCAACCCTTGGCCCAGAATTGGAATAAAACTCCCTGGTTTTGAAAAAAATATGCTTACCTGGTAAATGTTTTGGAAAGCATAAGAAAGGTATTATCAAAGACCAAGCAAAGAGCCAACACAGAAGAAATCCAATCCACCACGCCCCCAGCCATCGTGGATCATCTTCAGTGATAGCTATGCTATAGGACAGAAAAACAAAATGTAAAAGTCAACTCTACCTTGTTCATTAAAATGCAGTTATGATAAGTACAGACTTTGTAATTCAAGTGCATATATAGGGGAATAGTATTATAGTTTCCAACATTTTAAGTTGAGTCATTGTGATGAATCAGATAACAGAGAGCAGGCATGAATGAGAGCTATAAGAATAATGGTTTACAAAGTATTTCAAATGGCAATATGACAGAGAAGTGCAAAATATTTAATAGTAAATACAGGTATGCTGAATATCTGTAGGCATACATAGAATTTCTGAACATTGTTTAGCTAACTTTGGCTAAGTTTTTCTTCTCTACTATACTGAGTATATCTTACAGCAAATCACTGATCAATGTTAAAAGCCCATACACTGTGCTTTGATTAAGGCATTCATTTAAATGTAAAATTCATTTATTTTATTTATTTACCTATTTATTGAGGTATAATTGACATACGATATTATATTAGTTTCTGGTATACAATATAATGATGCAATATTTCAATATATTACAAAATGATCACCACATTAAGTCTACTTAACATCTGTCACCATATTGTACAGAATTGTTTTTCTTGTTTTGAGAACTTATAAGATTTACTCTCTTAGCAACTTTCAAATATGCAGTCCAATATTACCAACTATATTTGCCATGTTGTATATTATATCCCATGACTTAATTATTTTACAACAAGAACTTTGTACTTTTACCCATTTCACCCATCCCCCACCTATGGTAACCACGAATTTGTTCTCTGTATCTACGAGCTTGTTTTTTTGTATGTTTTTGTAGATTCTACATACACATGAAATCATATAGTATTTGTCTTTCTCTGTCTGGCTATAAAGTTCTTCTTAAAGTAATTTAGTAACAGTATTTTATAATGATTCTCATAGTTTTATATCAATAGGTTTCTCCCCCAAACACACCATTCCTACAACTCATGTAATTCTCCACTGAATTTAAAAACCTTTCTTAAAAACTCAGCTCTCTGCTTCAAGGACTTTCTCTGTACATTTTTTATATAGTCTCTAAAATATTAACCTGGGACTAATAGCTCAAAGAACAAATCACATATCTATAACCACATTTTCTTATTCATTACTCAGAGTCATACATAGGATTGTGCAGTTTTGATTCCTAGTGGTAAAATGAGAAAATATGGCCTCACCAAAGGTTACTAACTTCTCTATATTCAGGAAAAAGAGAAGGTAACTTAGTGGTTAAAAGGAGGATTTGGGAGTCAAAAAGATCACCTTGAATTCATGCCTTAGCCACTTCCCAACCTCTGTGTATCAATTACCTAATAAGATTATTAAAAGGATTAAATTAAGTGGTATGTAAAATATAGTAACACACAAAATCTATGATATATATAAAATAGTATGGGATAAATAAACATTACCTATTATTATCCTCTATGGCCACAGTTAAAACCACACAACTGTGATTCCTTGACCATATCAGAACTACTACAGAACTTAGTCTGAGAATCATGGACTCTCGAGGCTTTTCAGGCTATCTACATCCAGCTAAGTCTACTAAAAAAACAACCAATTTTGATTAAATTCTTCTTTCTGAACAATGCATGGGGTCCTAGATATGTATGTTGAAAAATTTCACAGGTGAGTTTTAAGCATCCTTATTTATGAATAAAAGCATTATACTAGGGGGTGGTATGGCATTAATTCATGAAGTAGTGCAGTTAAAACATTATAGAAAAATTGTGTGTTTTCAGTTTTATTTCAAATACTTTGAAAATGTTCTATGATGTTAACATCATTAAAATAAAATAAACTTAAATAAGAGAAAAATAGATATTGCCTTGCCTTTGTCCCAAATCCATATCAATGTACAAGGTTAGCAGCTGTCCTCCCAATACATAGCCAACAGCAGGGCCTAATATTGACATAGAATAGCCAATTCCTAGAAGAACAAAGACATTGAAAATGGTCAACTATACAACTTTGCTATGAATGTCTTACAGTAGTGAGGAAATATTTTACTGTAAAAATTTGAAATGATTAGAATTACAACAAAGTTATACATTTTCAGTAAAAAAAATACAATTTGAATGGTGCCACTTGTTAATAAGTCAAGGAACTTAAAAATATTTTAAAAATAAATATAACTATAAAATATGCTTTAAATATAAATATATATGTAATTCAATGTAAAAGTTTTAGACTATAATAATAATTGCAATAAATCCAACAACAATAAATTCAGGGAAAATTACATTATCTTAAATGGCAACAGAGGTAATATATCTACTATTACCCTTTATGGATGATGATAATTACTGTTTACAATTCTTATGGAAGAAAATAATGTGAAATGAGAAGCCTTTTCCACTCTGTACACACTCTAAAAGCAATCTGTATTTTGCACTATAGCAGCTGATTTTAAAACCTGGATTTGGTGATTAGCCTGGTTCGTAAAAGTAAGCCATTAATTTAAACTCCCGCACTTAGTGAGTCTTCCATTTCTACCTGTAGCAGAATTAAACTGACCTTATTTCTCTCAGATATTTAAAATTTTGCCATATGTAACATTTAAATCTTTGCAAAAAATTATGCATACATTAGCATCTTCATATATTACCACCTTCTGAATTTTTTATTAACTGCTAAGATTCTCATTTGCATACACAAAAGAACAGAATCTATCATACCCAAAGCCAAGCATATGTCAATGGTAAAAATGACTTATGTACTTGACCAAGTTCCCAAAGTAGGGGTCATGCAAGGTGATCTTTTGAAGGACCATTGAGTCAAGATTCTGAAGAGAACGACCTAAAAAATTAGGACTGATTTTTTGTTTTCCTGCGCGTATTTGCTGATTCTACAAAAGACCCTGGGAAGGTTAACAATCCTTGCTAGTCTCTAGGAAGTAGGAAAAACAAGGTTGCAGTTCAGGGCCCCTAACTTGGGAGTTATACTTTATAAACTTCCCCCACCCTACATTTTATGTAGGCACCTAGGAGGCTATACTCTAAAAGTAAGGGTGAGTTAGAAGTAGACTTGCCCACAGTAAGTAAAGCTTTGCTTCAAATAAACTCAATCTGTGAAGTTACATAGAGGGGATCCCAAATTGTAGAATACAGAATTCATATCTATCCTCACAAACTTTTTATGAGAAGATGCCCCAGAAAGCCCTCTCTTCCCATCTGTCATGTGAGGACACAGTAAAAAGATGAATGTCTATGAGGTAGGAAGTGGGCCTCACCAGACACTGAATCTGTGAGTACCTTGATCTTAGACTTCTCAGCCTCCAGGGCTGTGAAAAATAAATTTCTGTGGTTTACAAGCCAACCAGTCTATGGTATTCTGGTACAGCAGACTGAAAGAACTAAGACAGTCTCAGAACAGAAAACAGGGCAGGATGTCAACAAAACTCATAACTGCATTCAGCTGAAGTACATGTGTCAGTAAATGATGAAACAAAAACAGTAATATTGCTATATCTGCCATCTACTGGGAATCTAATGGAAATACCCATGAAATTACAACTAACTTTTTAATAAGCATCTATTGTATTTTTACTTATAAATTAAGCAATAAAATGAAATGATACTGAAACATTTATATTACAGAGAAAACTTACCAATGTACAGAGAAGATTTGTGTGTGGGAACAGAACCATCAATAAAGGCTGTTCCCAGAGTATAGAGAGGAGTTCCTCCCGTTCCCAGCAATAGTTGTCCCAAGATGAAGACATACAAGTAGTTAGAAAGTGAAGAACTTGAAGAGGCACAATTGGTTCTATTCCTTGTTGTTATGCAAGTATCTTTGGGAGAAAAAATTAAATTGTGAATTTATAGAAATTTAGCTAATAACTGAAACATCTATTTTTATCAATTATACTTGCCTAACAGCCTTCTTTATTTCTCTCAATCACTTCACTATGATTAAACTGTTCTTAAAATACATACATTACTAAAGAAAATTAAATATTATGTTAAAATTTAGACAATGTAGAACAAAACTGAGAAACATTAAACAATCAAAATTAACAAATTTGGAGTAAGTTAATATAAACACAATTGAAGCAAGTGGTGCCAGGGAAGTTTTCAGATTAAGGAAAAAAAAACTAGCCTTTATTTTTCTTTCCAAGTCATAAATACAGTATGACCAGCATATTGAATTTGTCAATCAATACCCTGAACACATGTGAAAAGCATACTTAGGTTATATGATATTTTGGTCAAAACAATAATTCCTTAATATTCACTACAAAGCCATAATACTTAAAGTTATGTCTAGTTCTTTCTTGTAGCTCAAACTATTTTATTAAATTTATTTTTTAAGCAACTTTTGGCCCTATAGAATATTCTTCTGAATATCATCAAAAGAAAAATGGTTATTTTTAAGATTTGATTAAAATCTTCTTAAAAATCACATTCAAAGGCTGGATAATATAGTAAACCCATATTTCCTAAACTCACCTGATAATATTAATGAATAAAGATGTTTGTTAAAAATATATTCCCAGCACTTTCTTTCCCTTTGAAGCTGGTAGTATCCAGAAACTGCATTTTAACAATAGCCTTAGATGATTCTATTTTCATTTCCTTAATATCAGATCAAGATGTATTACTTCCTGAATGATGAGATAAGTAAGACCCCCAAAGCACCAATCCTGAAGACTCTTTAACTGGTCCATGACCATCAGATTTTCAGATGCAAATTTTATGCATAAAATATTTATTATTCTTAATTTAAAATTTAAAACATACCCATAATTTTGTACATATTCATATTATAAGAGGTTGATGAATATTTTGGCAGATAATTTGTATTTATAACTGGCCTAAGTCTGAATTATTTGTCTTACCTCCCTGACTATGTCAGACATTTGACCTGTGACTTCTGGTTTCAATGTTCACTTTTCTGGAGGTAGCAGATTAGACTAAGACTAGTCTCTTATTATTGGATACACTGCACAATTAAACATACTTACATGTATTTCTTGGTTTATTATTTTTTCCTATTTCTTTTTTATAATAGAGAAATATCTTTCTGTAGTAATCTAGTAGATACCTTGACCATGTGAGTATTCTGTGGGGTTTTGGTGTTTGTTTTTTCCCATAGGAAGTCATCTATGAGGTTTCGTTTGTTTAAGTAAATTTTAAATAGCACAGAAGAAGATCAAGAGAAATACAAAACTCTCCCTTCCCCCTGCCTGCCTCCACTTTACGCTCTTCCATATAACTCACATGGAGGTAATGACAACTGTTAACAGTTCCTTTTATTTTTTCTCAGACATTTTCTCACACATTCACACGTTTTATATCCATTTACTTTTTTTACACAAGTGTGGTCATACTAAACATACTGTTCTTATACTCAACAACTTCCAGATTTCACTTATGTCCTCGACACCTTTGATGTTGGAATTTGATTGTATTTAAATTTCTCTGTTGTCACTGCCATAACATCCCACAGCATAAATGCTGTAGAACTTACTTAATCCACAACTTACACTTAAAAACTAATAACATTTATTATTATTATACTGTACATATATTTAGGTCATTACAAACATGTTGTGATATGCATTTTTAAAATTTCCTTGGCATAATTATGCACGCCTATCTGCAGAAACTGCTAAGTCAAAGTGTGTAAATATTTATATTTTGATACTGCCAAATTGCCTTATCAAAAAGTTAAACAAATATGCAATCACACCAGCAGTGCAATAACACTTTGCATAATAAAATTAAATTACTACCAGTCTCTCTGGTTAAAAAAATACGCGCACACGTGTGTGTATATACACACACGTATTTTTTTAATTCAATTTTTTAGGCTCATCAGTACAATTAAGCATTTCTTATATGTTTATTGGCCATTTTCATATATTTTCTATGAATTTTTCAAATTTACTTCATAGGTTCCGATTTTGATATTTGACTTACGAAAGTCTTCCCTTCTCCAAGATTACATATGAATTAACATGATTTTATCACAGAATTTTTCTTACTTTACAGTTGACCCTAGAGCAATGCAGGATTTGGAGTGCCAGTCCCTGCATAGTCAGAAATCCATGTGTAACTTTTGACTCCCCCAAAACTGAACTACTAATAGCCTGCTGTTGAAAATCCTTATTGATAAACAGTTGATTAGCACATATTTTATGTTTCATGTATTATATACTATATTCTTATAATAAAGTAACCTAGAGTAAAGAAAATGTTAAGAAAGTCATAAGGAAAATACATTTACAGTAAGTACTGTACCATATTTATCGAAAAAAACCTGTGTATAAGTGGACCCACACAATCCAAACTTGGGTTTTTGTGTTTCTCAACTGTATTTTTAATTCATATGTAATATAGTTTAGTGGGGAAAGACTGGGATGCAGTAGTCTGTTGGATTAACCAAAGATTTTCTTTTACTCAATTTCTTGGGTGTGGGGTTATTTTTGGATACTTAGTTTTATGTCACTGATCTTTGCAGTCTTTCTCTGGACCAAATCTCTTGTAATTACTCCAGCTGTCTAAGCTTTGAGATATCAACATCTCATCCCAGCTATGACCCATTTCACAGTACTACACAAAAGGCATAGTAAGAATTAACATCTTCTATCATTTTTCCCAAGTAAACAAGGCCTAAGGTCTATTTATGAAAACTACTCTATCCAATATATTACTCTCTGTATTATTTCTGAATAATTTCTTTCTATTGCTTTTCTTAAAATTAGTAAAAAGAAATGGCATATCAAGTCACAGAAAGGCTTGAGTGAATCTTAAATATATATTGCTAAGTGAAAATATCCAGCCTGGGGAGGTGGGGTTAAGATCACATGGTAGTAGGAGAACCCCACGCTTGCCTCCTCCCTCGAACACAGCTAGATAAAAATCAAATCATTCTGAACACCCAAGAAATCAATCTGAGAACTGAGAGAACGAACTGCACAACTAAAGGGAGAGAAGAGGCCACAACATGGAAGGTAGGAGGTATGGAGATGAGACGTGACTTGGCGGGTAAAAGGATCACAGGTGCTGCAGAGGGGAGGGAGCCCTGATGATGGAGAGTGGAGAAAGGGAGAGTGAGGGAGAGACAGAAAGAGAAAGGGAGCGAGCACACACAGCACACAGGGGATCGCACAAGAAAAACACTTCCCCAAAACCAATATCTGGGAAAAGGAGAGGGGCTGATTATTGCTGAGTTTTTACAACCAGTGGAACTCAAAAACTGGAGTTTTAGAAATCCTTGCCATGGTCAGTGTGGAGCCCAGCAGGCACAGTGGTGCTCCTGGGGGAGAGGGTGCAGACATTGTGATATGAGGATCCCCTGGGACACACTGGGGGAGACAGTTATTCCTACCTGGAGTGCATTTGGGAGATGTGGCATTACCTCTCGGGGGACAAAGGAGACAGCGGGCATCATTGTGCTGCCCAGTCCCTTAGCATAGGGGCAGAGACACACCTGCTGGAAGCAGCTAACCTGGACACCGGCTTTTTGCTGTGCTTTACTCTGAACTCCAAGTTCCTGTGAATTGGTCTGGGACAAACGCCACCAGCCACAGCGTAGGGAGATCCTCTTTCAGAAGACCAGCATAGTCTGTGCTGAGCCAGGTCCCTAAAGTTTAGAGTTTTGAAGCTCAGCTGGCACGCCTGAGATAAAACACAGGTGTACTGCACTGCTGGGAGGGTACACAGTTTGGACATGGAGAGGATGAAGGCAGGGATCCAAGGAATGCCTGGGACACATGAGGAGAGAGTGATCATTCTTTCACGAGGGCTTCCCAAACAGCATTAGGCACAAACTCTGAAGACCAGAGAGGGGGCTGGAGCTATTTTTCTCCAGCATGGACTACAGTGAGCAGAAAAGCTCCAACAGTGAAGGCCTCAGCCGCTTACACAAAGCCACACCCCCCCCCAACCTCCCACCCCCAGGCTCTGCAGGTGATTCTTTACTAAGGCAAGCATGCCTGAGACCCAGAGCAGCACAAACCCAGCACCCTTCCCCCAGAAGACCAGCATGAACCTCCCACAGGCACCAAGTCTACTGACCATAGAGTGCTGCAAAGCTTCAGCTCTAGTGGAAATAGGATCCAGCCCCTTTTAACAAGCAGACCACAGCACACCTAGTTAAAACTCTCCACACTCTGCACAAGGTCCAGACACTCCCCACTGCAGGCAAGGAGAAACTCTGCAGAAGACTGACCTGAGGGAAAGAGCAGCCAAAATACAACAGCAGAGTGCACACAGCATACACCAGAAACACTGCCTAAAGTGCCAAGCTGTGGAGGTTACAGGACCTCTTCTTCATAAAGCTATTACTCTCAGAAGCAGGAAACATAGCAGGCTTTCCTAACACAGAGAAGACAGAGACCTAAACAAAATGTGAAGGCAGAGGAATTCATCCCCAAAGAAATAACAATAAAAGGTCATGGCCAGGGATCCTATCAGAACAGATATAAGTAATATGCCTGAACCAGGATTTAAAACAACAATCGTAAGGACACCAGCTGGGCTTCAGAAAAGCAAAGAAGACACCAGGGAGTCCCTTACCACAGAGATAAAGACCCCCAAACTAGTCAGGCTGAAATAAAAAATGCTATAACCGAGATGCAAAACCAACTGGATGTAATGACCACAAGGATGGAAGAAGCAGAGAAACAAATAAGTGATACAGAAGTTCAAATTATGGAAAATAATGAAGCTGAAAAAAAGGAAAGAAAAATATTGCATCATAAATATAGACTCAGGGAACTCAGCGACTCCATAAAACATAATAACATTCATTTCATAGGAGTCCCAGAAGAAGAAGAGAGGGAAA